CTGAGTGGACGCTATGAAAAGAGCTCTTGGAAGAAGGAACATAGAGTAGGAGTAAGCCCGACCGGTGAGGTTCAGGGGGGAGGGAGGACTGAAAGCGAGTTGGGTAGGTAAACAATATCACCACGAGAGATGAGTGTCGAAAGGCACACAAGCGCTAAAAGAGCTGAAAGGAGATGGAAAGGAGGTAAGATCCCCCCCGCCCGTCCTGCTCTCGGTCATTTATTGCTTCTTCTTCTACGAGTCCTGACCATGAGAAGACAACTTGGGTACGCGCTGGTGATGACTGTCCCCACTACCTGGACCGCAACCACTGGTGAAGGTACTGTATTTGGTGGAATACGGTGAAACTCACACCCGAGGCGATGGGGCCCTTGATCCAGTTCATAGTCACGCCCTTGTAGAGTCCATGGAAGATACCCTCGTGTTGGTAAACAATTCGAATAGTTCCGAGGATACTTCGGGTGTACTCCGGGTGACCTAAAGGAACGGGAAATAATAATAATAATGATTAAAGCCGCCGTCACCAGCAACACTATCGAGTCCGCAAAAGCTGTAAGCAGACTCAAAAAGAGGCAGTATCACTAAATCTGCCTAACTGTCGGGAATGTTCATCACGTTGAGAAGAAGCAGATGCGATCGCTGGGACAAGAATTTTGTTGGCCTGACGTTTCGAAGTCCGTCACGGAACCCTCATCCGCACAAACGGGTATTAGCGAGATATGGGTAGTTCATACGCAGAGAATTACAGTATTTAAAGGATATAGTCGCTATTCTACTGCATACTTATGACAATTAACGACTCCCTCCCCCGATTAAGGCTAGTTGCGCGCTTGAGAGTTAATTGCCTCATGGCGGCCGGCGTGCGGGTCCTGAGCTGCTGAACTTTCATCACCCGTCTGGGACTTGAGCATAACAGTTAGTCAACTAGTACAGTTGGGCAGCACTTTTAGATTACCATCGGGGTATGCAGTACTCGCCAAGTACTTTGTACCATTTTATATTCTTACCTATCGCAATCGGCACATCTCACCAACCACGCCTCCTAACCAGTACAGGGTTCAGCACGTTTCATCTACA